CCATGCCATGAGAAGTAAAAATATTACAAGACATAAAGAAGGAAGTTTAGTTACTCGTTGATGAATGCAGAAGTTTTTGGGTTGAAACTGGTTGTACTATAATGGCGAATGGTTTGCAAGATTAAAGAAATAGGCAGTTAATTAATTTTCTTATTTATTGTCCTAGAGAAATTGTTTTTATCAAATCTGTTGATACCTCAGATATAGTTAAGGATGCTCAAAATCTTTGCAATTTATTCATAGACATGGTTGCATTTGCTAGGGCAAATAATGTTGTTCATCTAGTAATTGATAATGCAGCTAATTATAAAGCTGCTGGGAGATTATTAAATGATAAGCTTCCTTCTATTTTCTAGTCTTCTTATGCTGCCCATTGCTTAAATTTGATTTTTACAGACATAAGTAAGATGGAGATTGTTATTAGTTTAGCAGCACATGCATCTATGTTTCAAAATTCATATATAACCATGCATTTTTATTAGCTTGGTTGAGGAAAAGAGAGGGTTGGGTAGAAATCATTCACCTAAGGGCCACATGATTTGCCATTACTTTCATTACTTTAAAGAGTATCTATAAGCACAAGTATGATATACAAGCCTTGATAACTAGTAAGGCATTTATAAACTCTAGATACTCTAAGGATCGAATGGCTAAGGATGTGATAATGATTGTGTTGGACAATAAATTTTGGAGTGATTGTAAAATTGTTGTTGAAATTGTAAAACTACTCATCCGATTGTTGATAATTGTTGATTTTGATGATAGCCCATCACTTGGGTATGTATATGATGGTATGTAGAGGGCAAGGAAAGCTATGAAGAATACTTTTTTGAAGAAAAAATATTTGTACAAGCCTTACACAAGGATTATTAAGAGAAGGTAGGATTCTCAGCTCTGACAAATTCTTCATATAGCTACTTATGTCTTCAATCTTGCTTTTTTTATGATAAAGAAAACTTTTCTCAAAAGCTAGAGGTTATGTAAGAATATCTTACTGTTATAAATAAAAAAGTCCCTTCTAATAAGACCAAGTTCTTGTAAGAAGGCACACAATATTAGAAAAAGAGTGGTAGCTTTAGTCATCCATTGGCTATTGAATCTATAAAATCAATGCGACCTGGTAAAGTAAATATTTATATATTTATCTTTCATATTTATTATCTCGTAACTTTATTTGTAAAATCTCTTTTAATAACTTTATCTTTAATACAGCAGATGAATGATGGCAATATTTTAGGAGTAGTTGTTTGAATGTTAAAAACTTAGCTATTAAATTGTTAAGTCAAATTGCATCTTTATCAGGTTATAAAAGGAATTGAAGTATCTTTGAAAGAATACATTCCAAGAAAAGGAATAGATTGAAGCATCAATGGTTGAATGATCTTGCATATGTTCATTACAATTTTGGCTTAAAGAATAAGTATATTATTTAAAGCTTTATGTTAATTTGCATTCATAAAGATTGGATAAATGAGTTCATATAGTTTGCTATTGTCATGTGTATCTTAGAGTTGCTAACAAGAGAAAAGCAATTGATCCTATTGATTTTGAAAGTATTGATAAAATTGAGTATTGGGTAATAGAAGAAGATGATCCTTCTTTACTTCATGCTGATGAGATAGAAGGAGATCTCCTTTATGATGAGTAAACACTACCAAAAACTATTATTTTGCAGCAAGAAGAGGAAGGTTTGAATTTTTGAATCTTTTGAGCTTTATTACATGCTATCACTTTTATTATATTGCTCTCAATAATGCTTTAATCTAGTTTGATCACTTTGTTGCATTTGTTTATAAAGATGATCAACAAAGAGTGAATGTAATAGAGCGTGAAGGGATTGATTTAAGATCATTTGGTCAGTAAGATGATGATAGTTACAACACAGATGCTGATACTTTTGAGCCTAATCATGCTTGAATTAATCAAGTGGATTAATAAAGATATGCCAATATCTTTGACAAGTGATGAAATTTTTAGTTATCTTATAATGTTAAGCTTGTGGATTGTAGATTGTTGTACTTATGAATTTGTTGCATTATGTTAATGATTTGACTAGAACATATTATAGTGTTTTTGTTGTGTTAATGACTTGGGTGTTTTGAAAGACTTGTGTGGTGGTGTATTTTTGCTAGCTTGTTATATTAAAGACTTGAGTGGTGCTTTAAATATGTGTGTGTGTGTGTGTGTGTTATTTTTTATTTAATTATTAGGTTACCGGTCCTACCGGTTGAACTCTGAGACCTATGACTTGTTGACATTTTTGGTTCGCTGTTTGATTTGGGTTTTAAAACATTGCTCCTATGCAATAAATTAAACTACCAAAACCAATCACAGAACGTTTGAATCCACCATTGCATGAGGTTTCAAAACTAACACAGCACAAAGGTTACTAAGAAAATGTTAAATGCAAACTAAAAACATCTACTGTTACAGAAGGTATAACATCAACCAAGATGCATACAAGCCCTCAGTGGTCTTCCGTTAATTTTGTGGACAATCACTTTGTATCCTTAAAAGCCCCATCCATGGATTCATAAATACACAACAATTTAGAAACAAAAGAATTAACATAAGGTAGCAAGTATGAAGATAAAAGGACAACATTATGATCATTTTTGCTTGATCATATATAACATATTAAAACAACATATCTCAAGCTTGTGACGGAAACCAATTTTTGCTTGATAATATATAACATAAAAATAGATAACAAGTACAAAGATAAAAGGACTACGTTATGATATTTCAAGATAATTTTCTTTTTAATAAATAAAAAATTAGACATATATAATTCTTTATATACTCCCTATAGATCTCAGGATAATATATTGGTAACTAGTTTATGGATATTTAAAAAAATTAATTGAAAACTCAATCTCTTAAGAAAATTTTATATATTTCTAATTATACTCTAATTTAACACTTTATATAAATGTTTTGATAATGACAATTAAAACTTATCATTTTTAAAAAATTCATAAATAAAGTATAATTAAAAAATAATTATAAAAATTATTCAATATCTTATATTTTGAATGATAAAAGCTTCTACAAGATGTCCTGTTATACTTACCTCTCATCATGAATATGGTTGAATTATTTCCCTTTCACATTTTGATCATTTTGTTTTTATCTTTATTTCTTTATTCTGTTTCATTCCTATCCTTTCTTGCAACCACACAAGCCAGTAAGCTACATGCAAAGCATCTAATGCAATTAATATATTGATAAACAGTCAACGTGGGAGAGTCAAAAATACAGATGACATGTGAAAAGAAGCTAATATATGAATGCTATTCTAATATTAACAATCCTTCTACATTGTATCACTCATCAATGTGTCATGTATGATTCATTTTCTACATAGAGTTTCTAGCTAAAAGCATATATTCGATTAGCCTTCCAAAGTGGAGGAATATAATGAAAAGGTACATGGATGAATATAATGACAATTCATAAAGTAGGAAGAACAAAACAAAGTGATATATGAAAGTAAATTCAAAGAAATCAGTTACTATGTAATGAAAAAGTACATGGAGAAGGAAAACAGAGTAAATGAATAATTCTTTATGGGCAACAACTCTTTGGTACCATCTATCTACTAAACTGTGTGGTTATGTAACTGATAAGATTCATATCGGAGCTAAAACAATGAGATCTCACCTATGAGATGAAGGTAGGACATGAGTTTTGTTATTGTAGTTATCATTTAATATACACAGACCTGTATATAAGCCCTATACTTTGTCAGTCCATAAAGTTCAAGATCTCTCAAATTCTTGACTTGCTAAGAGCTTTGATCTTGAAACCATATGAACCTTCTTGACTCACCAATAGCCGTATCTAACTTTAAAACCCATCGACACTGGCAAAAAATAATATAATGTTAATGCATAACAACTCATGCAATCACAGTTTTGCCATCCAAGAACTTAGGTACTTGATTTAGTTCCCAAGGAAGAACAAAAAATGGAATATAACCATTGAACTCATGAAAAAATAAAAAGTATAAATTCACAGCAATCAATTTATAGCCATTTAAGAACTCTAGCAAATGATATAGTTCCAAAGGTAGAATAAAGAAAGGAATGTAGCCTTTAATGTAATATCACCAGGTTGAGTCAAGATATAGTTTATCACATCCAGCCATAGAATGCTTCAAGTTTGTTATGAACAGTGTTCAGCAGTAAATTTTCAAAAGAAACGAATATCCTCATATATGGTCCAGAATAACCCTAACTTAATGATGAATGTTCAAAGTATTTACTTTATTCACAATCTCAAACAATTTACAATACAAACGTGAAGAAATGGTGTAAACTTGTTTCAAAGCCAGCATCATGTCTGTAACCCTCGTTATTGAGGGAAGAAAAATCAAGAGACAGATAACGAAATGGAAATTGAAATTTGAAATTTAAAATTTGAACTTGAAAGCCAAAACAAAAGAAATGCCCAAAACAGAACCAAAACTCACGTGAAGCCTGTAAAGCAATGAGAAGGTTTAGTATAGGGAGCATAAAAAACCATGTTCAGAGCACTCAAGACATATAATCATCGGATAAATAAAGCAAACTCCCAAGCTGTAAAGCAAGCCATGACACTAACATAAGCGATCAATGTTCATTACTACTGTGTTCCAAGCCTAAACTTAACTTTGTAAATGGCTCAGATGGAGGAGTTTTAGGGGATACAAGCCACAAAAAATGTGTATAGAGGGGGAAAAAATCAAACAGGGTCAATCAATACACCAAACTAGGCCAACCACTCATTTAAATTAAACAACACCTTGAAAGAAAATAACAACGAAAAGAAAAAGGGACAAAAGAAACAGGGCCAAATTTTCTACTAATTAAAAACACCTTGAAAAGCAAAAAGAAAAAAAGAAAAAAGAAAGAGACAAGAAGACCAATATACTTTAGATTTTCTTGAAAATATCAAATAAAGTGCTATTTCATACATGGGCAAAAAATTTAAGAGAGAAATTATGAGTCATGAGAGCATTATGTCCTCAAAGCGTTGAGCATAACAATCTCACATACAAAGACAATTACTTCACTCCAAGAAGACTCCTACAAGAAAAAGAAATGTAGAATTTTGGAGACCATCAGCATGATAGCTTGCACAAAAACACAAACCCATGTCCAATATAATAGCACCGTTCTTCTAAAATCTCACATTATGCACCATATTGATAAATAGAATGACTTAAAGCATTCACATGGAATAGCTCAAAGTTCTAGATACATCAACTATAGCGCATAAGAATTGAGGATGAAACTCAAGCAAACAAATGTCCAAGAAGTTACACCTATATGATTTAGTGGTATACCTGTTCTATCTGACAAGAAAACTATATTACCCCTAATTTAGATGAGTACACATGAGAAAAAACTAGTGAAGAGAAGAAAAATACCCAGCAGGCAACTACTAACTACAAGACCATAAATGGTAAGCAAATTTAGACTATGTCTGTAAATGATTAAAGAGAAGACAATGAAAAACATGATTTTGTCCACAAGGGTGGAAGCTTCCATAACTTGGCTAAACAATTTAAAGGCATATTACAGAAGCACATAAAATTAAATAGATTAAAGTCTTGTCATTACTTACTTATGATAGCAAAATAAGCTAATGGATACACTAAAGGTTTGTTGTCAAGTTCTTTAAGTATTTCAACAATGCTCATACTCCCGTGTTCCTAGGAAGTTCAGTCATTCTTCATCTAATTTAGAAAAATGTCATTGTCATATTTCTAAAAGAATAATAATTTCAGATGACAACATTTAAAGAAACATCACCTTAGCTATAGTTAACATTAATAAAAAAACAAAGGCATGAGTGACAACAATTGAGATACACTAAAAAGTTGTTAAATCAAATTAGTAATTAATAGTAAAGGAAGAAGGAAAAAAGTCATGTAAAGCCAAAGAAAAACTGACGACTAGAAGCCACAAACAATCAAAATTATATATATATATATATATATATCAAACATAAGATTTAAACAAAACATGGGCAATTGAAGTCAACCATTATATAGGCCACAAAATTTACAACAAATTTGTTAAATATTACAATAAATTTCATCATGAATATGAATATCAACTATCAACAATTAAATAGCTGTGGAGAAAACTTGCTAACCTTCTTTTATTGCTATAGGAGACCTTTAGTGAGCATTTTATCCAGAAGATCCTTTGCTTTATCAATCTCACCCTTTCCTAAAAGGTGGTCTAATAATTGCATCAAAGGTTATAAAATTAGGCGGGCATTCATTCTCTTTTATGTTATAAAGTAAGGCCTTTGCCTCATTAAACAAACCTGCTTTACAAAGTCCACTGATCATTGTAGCATATGCTTGGACATCCAAAGGATGGCTATTAACCAAAAGATATTGAAAAATCTACTATGCTTCCTTTAATCTACTACCCTTGCACAAACCATCAAGAAGTATGGTATACGTGCATGTATCAGAATGAATTCTTTAGTCAACCATTTTCTTAAATAACGTAATTACTTAATTGAGATGATGACTTTTGCACAATCCATCTAACAAGATATTACAAAATATTATATCTAGAACATGACTATTAGCTTGCATTTCATAAATAATATTCTGCACAAATAACATTTTCCCTGATTTGCACAAACTGTCAACAAGAGAGTTATAGGTGACAATATTGGGAAACAAATTATTGCGCTTCATTTCTTTAAAGAGATTAAAGGCATAATTTACCTTCTTGATTTTACAAAATACATTAATAAAAATATTATAACTAATAATATAAGGAACGAAGCCACTCTTGACCACCCTATTGAACAATTCACTTGACTACCAACATTATGAATCAAATAGTACCCATCCATTAAAGAGCCGTAAGTAACTTCATCAAGTTTCGCACCCTTCTTTATCATCATGCCAACAATAGCTTTAGCTTTGGTGAGGCATCTTCCCTTACAAAATGCCCCAACCAATATATTAAAAGTATGAATATTAGGGTTGATGCCTTTAAGTTTCATTTGCTTAAACAACTTTGCAACCTTTAGCCAGTTATCTATGGAACAAAAACCATGTATTAGACAACAGTTGTAGGTCACAGCATTTAGAGACATTCCCAAATTAATCATTTCATGAAATAAATCACGAGCTTCTGTTATGAACCTTTCCTTGCAAAAACCACAATAATTGTATTACACATAACTAAATTAAGCTTAACTTGCCCTTTTGCCATCTTTTAGAGTAATTTGATCGCGCACCTTGTTTTCCTTGTTTTGCATAGCTTGTTGATGAGTGTACCATAACTAACTCTGTCTAACTGAAACCCTTTTTCTATAAGATCATCATGAAAATCTAAGGCCTTCCCAACGTCATTATTAATGCAAAGGCCCTTCAAGAGTGTATTCAAAGTAATCGTATCAGGCTGACACCCTACCTTAAGAATCTTCCCTAGGGCAAAGAAAGATAAAGTCATTCGACCTACATGACAGTAACAATTAATCAAGATGGTTAGTATAATCAAACATGGCATGAATCCCTTATATTCGGCTTGTGCGAAAAGGGAGATAGCAGTAGGAAAATGTTTCATCCATGTAATAGATCTTAAAATCTTATTAATTTGGACTATAGAGGGACGGGGATTCCTATGAAGAAAAGCATGGAAAGAAGCGACAAACTCTTCAGTGTTGCGAGGATTTGAGCTATAGGAACCAAAGCTGAAGTTAGTAGCAAGGGCAAAAGGGAGGGAATGCAGGAATGAAAATGTAGACGATGTCAAAAGCAAAGGAAATTTACAGAAGGCATACCATGAAGCAGGTCTGCACAACATCTATGAGAATTAGGTGTTATCATTATAGCTTTCACCGATAGAAGAGTTGTTGTACGGCATGTGCTTTCGCTATTGATCGGAAGAGTATATACAAGACAACTCGCAAAAAGACCACACAAATTGGTAAGATGAGGTACTTGCATAATGTGCCTCGCAAATTCAAGAATGGCTTCGGGAGGGTTTTCTGTGAGAAGTATCGTTTTTTTAGGTTTTTACCGTGGGGGAAGTGCTTTGACAATTGGTACGGGAGCAAAACCAAAAAAATACCATGAAATCATGATAATTGTAGTATAGTCCATCCTTGGACTTGCTTGGCATTTTATTTTATTGTTTAATTTGTGAAATAATATATTTACCCTTAATTTTATCTTAAAATGAAAAATAATGCTTTCACAAAAAAGTGAAAAATAATGGTTAAAATATTTAGTAATTACCTTTTTTTAATACAAGTCCAATAGAAAAGCCATGCAAAGAAATAAAAATCAAATTATGTATAAAAATATAAAGTTTTTATAATTAGGTTGGTGACTATTTTGTTTGTGTTATTAAATAAAACAAAAGAAAATGACAAATTTTCGCTACCATTTATGTTTATCAATGCAACTACTAAAAATCAAATACTAATTACAATTGAAAATGATTTTTTTGCTTTGGGAAAATGTTTACAATTGAATAAAAAATAACAAAGAGAGAATGACAAAAAAATTTCAAAATGACCAATTAATTCATGTTAAGTCTCAAGTACCAAACTCTAGAAATTTACAATTCAGTCTCTCAATTTTGCAACTTCATTGTAATGAATTTGTAACTTGTTTTTCAAATTTTAACATAGTTAAAGAATAAAAAAAATTATTTTCTATGCTAAAATTTCAAATACAAGTTATAAATTCATTATAACAAAATTATAAAATTGAGAGATTGAGTTGAAAATTCTTAAAATTTAACACTTGAAATCCAACCTGAATTAATTGATCCTTTTAAGACTTTTCTATCATTCTCCCAATAACAAATGCCTTTGTGCAAAAAAAATTTTTGTCAAGTCCAATAAAAAAAAAGTAACTACTTTAGTTATTCTATTAACTAAAATAGAAAAAAATGACAAGTTTCTTTCTTTTATTTTTGTTTATGAGTCAAGTATGTAAATGCCCCAAGAGGGGGGTAAATTAGGCTAATTAAAAATAATAAAAGTTTGTAGTAACAATCAAAGTAATGAAGGAACGAAATCACCAATTATAAAGAGGTAAAAAAGCAGAGGTTGACACGAGTGATTTATCTTGATTCGACTCCTACCACTTGAGTCAAGAACCTCTTGAGATTTTTAACCATACTACCAAGATTAATCTAGGCTCTTGATTGTCTCAGGACATCAACAGACTTCACAATAAGTTTGAAACTATCACCCTTACAAAGGTAATAATAAATTCCCTTAAACTCCCTGAGCTTAAGTTCCTTTGTTTTGAAGATGAAAAATAAGGGTAAATAGAGTAAGTTCAAGAATGAACTACTCTTGCTTTAAACTTTCTCTAAGAGTAGATATATAATTAATAAAGCTCTCAAATAATAAATGACACACAAAAAGTGGGCAAACTTTAATGCTTAAGTAACCACAGAATTTTTCTCGTTAGCTCATGTTGTTTTTCTTTCTTTTTTTTTTAGATTTCATAAATGAGTCTCTTTATAATTGAGAATCATAAATGATCTATTATACTCATAAATTTTTTCATTGAAGGTTGATTGTAATCTGTTTCCTTCTTTCCTTTGTGTTTTCCTTCTTCTCTAGTGGATGAGGCAATGCAACAGTACTTTACTACAGAGAGTTCCTCTTTTGCACAGTAACAACTACTAACATTTAATGCTTTTGTCAAAAGTGGATAAAGCTTATACATTATAGTATAACAATAAACAAACACAGTGAATTAAGGAAAGGTAAGTAAAATGAATCACTTCAAGGAAACAACTGTGTTTAAATATCATTTAGGAAGGATTTAGTGACAGCACAATTAGTTACAAATGAAAAGATAGATTGAGAGAGGAGTTTCAGTGAGATTAAAAAAAATGTCATGAAAAATAGAGCATGAAAAAGCAATATAGTACCGATGTTATAGAGTCCCAACACTGGTGCTAATGTAATGAAAGAGGTTTGATAGACAAGCTTAGCACCAGTGTTACTCAAATAGCATTGGTGTTGTTGATCATCTTAAAAGGCAAAAATTTTTAACAATATTGATTGAATAAAGGATATTTTTGAAAAAGATAACTTAGCACCAGTGTTAAAATAAAATAACATCGAAGCTACATGTTCAAATAGAAGTCCTCATAATAGAATAGAAGAGGCAGTACCGGTGCTTTACAATTAGTACCGGTCTTACATATAATGCTCTCAATTTAGTATAGGTGCTATTAAAAAACACAAGTGTTGTCTTAACTTAAACAAGACAGATATTATATAAACAGTACGAGTGCAAAGAATAATGTTCAAAGGATAGAGAATCAATTGCACAGGTTTAAAGGGATAACATCAGTGTTAGAACAAGTAGGATTGATGTTATATGGAGCATGAACAAAGAGAAAAGTAGAAACAATTCAAGTACTACTAGTGCTAAGGCTTCAGTACTAGTGCTAAGGACACTTAGAAACAATTTTAGAACAAGATTACGTTAAGCACATAGAAAATAGTTAAGTCAAATACTTAACTAATAAAGAGATAATAGGACATAAGAACTTCTGTTACACGAATAAGTTGACACTTAGTTTAGATTAGTGTTAAGCCAATCAACTTTGGTTAAAATTAAATAACCTATAGCACACAAAACTTCTCTTTATTTTTGCAATCATCAAAACTAGAGTTCAACAAAGTATGTCTATTAAAAATCATTTTATATTTATAATTGAGAAATGACTACTTTTTTTGCGAAAATGTTTATAATTTAATAGTAAATAACAAGTATTTCTTTGCAAATTTTAAATTGAAGGCAAATGTGTCATTTCACAAAAAATTTAAATGCTAGACAACTTCCTAAAAACTACACAATTTATTGTCACATTTCAAGATGTTCTATTATTTGTGTATTTCAAGATTATTTTGTCATGATCCTAATTATTTACAATTTCTATGGCTTCCTTGTCGCTATTGGAGTAATGTATAGTTACTTTAATTTAAACAAGACTGTATGATTAGAGTCAAGAATGTGAATCAAACTTGATGAGCTAGCCATTTAAAGTCATTTTTTTAAGGTTCGTGTATGAAAAATCAAGAAATTTTTGTCCAATCAAACTTCTAAGCTCTACCTTTTTAGGCCTTGCAAAAACAAGTTTGAGTGGCACATTGAAACTCGTTTTTGTTTTATCACTATAAAATAAAATATTTTTAATTTTAAAATTAAATTTAGACTTTTGAATGTATGTTTATAATTTAAAATTAAAATTTATATTATTTATTTTTAATTTTTTGACATTGTAATTTATATTTAAAAAATGCGTAATATTATAATGTAAGAATTAATTAGTGTCAGACTTAAAAAAAAAAACAATCAATTTTGAGATAACCTCACATATGGGCAAGAGTCCAATAGGGCAAGGCCCATATAGGCTCAACTTATCTATTTCCCAACTCTATGGATGATTTATTGGTTGTTCAAAAAATATGAAAATTCAAAATTCCATCATTTTTATTACTAATTTTTATTTAATTATAATATTTTTACATATATTTGAATGTAATATTTTCCAATAAAAATTATTTTTATAATATTATATTAACATAAAATTTTAACTTATGGAGAAATAGAGAGAGCATTGTTTAGGAGAAAATAACCCCTTAAATGTGAAAGGAAGCCGCTGAATGTTGTTCTAATATTAGGAATCCTTCTACCAATTTTTTGCGTTGACTGTATTCTTCCTCTTTTTTAATATATTTTTATACTAAATTTTAAAATTATTATATAATAGATAGAAATAAAAAGATTATAAGGCATAATGATATGGTGGGTATGGGACCCACAATGAAAAAAAGAATGATTAATTTGGAACAAATACTACAAAATATTTTTTAAACCATAATATAAAACCTTTTTTAAAAAGTCTTAGTTGATTTAAAATGGAGGGTATTGAATAAGTTTTATAATTATATAGATAAGTTTGCTTTAAAAATTGTAAGAAATTTTATTACTTATCTTTGCATTTATCTATATTAAAAATTGTAGTCTTCTACTCATTTTTATAATTGAACTCGTTAAAATCTTCTCTCCTCTCTATTCCTTTATATAACAACTAAAAGTTGATGGATGGGCGTAAAATCTAGTTGAATAACAAAATAACAAGTGCCTCTATGTAAAAATTTTTTTAGTCAATTCCAACAAAAAAGTAGTAACTACTTTAGTTAGGTTATTAACTACAATAGAAAAGAAGATGATAAGTTTTTGTCTTTCATTTTTATTTGAATCAAGTGTAACTATTAAAAATCATTTACTAGTTGCAACTGAGAAATGATTATTTTCTTAGGACAAATAATTTTTATAACAAAAAGTTTAGGTAAGTTAGGTTCAGGGGCTCACTAAGGGCACTGTGTAATATCCTGAGTTTTCAACTTAATAAATTTGAGTGTTTAAGAAGGACATATGAGTCAAAAATAGTGATTTAGGAATTAATAATGTTTTGGGACTCTAACAAGATTTTTGGACCTTTGGATAGCTTTGGAAATAAGGTAAGATGCTGTATGGATCAATCGAGCTCAAGAGGGTGGCCAAAATAGCATATGGTATTTGTTGTGCCATGTGCCGTGGTGCATGCATCATGCACCATGGCACACAACCAGTTCTTGAAAAAAATCAAAAGCGAGCTACGTCTGATTTCTGAGGAAGAAAAGAAGAGAAACAATGGAGACGATAGAGGGAGAGCTCGTGGGTCTTAGGGTTAGATCTTGGGAGCTATTTGGAGGCATTTTAAGCAAGATTCATCTTTGGGTAAGCTTTCTCTCCCTTTTTCTCTTCT